CCCAGGAGTACATTTGCAAATTGTATGGTACATGTACATTTCAATTTTTAAGAAACTGCCAAACTATTTTCTAGAGTGGCTGTATCCATTTGAGTGAGGAACAGAAAGTGTACTTCCCTTTTTATCACTTTGCCTGCATCCATTTATAATATGCTGGTCTTAGTTATTTCCTTTACATACACAGAGAACCATACTTAACAATGTTATAACTTTTACTTCAACTATCAAATATAAATGAGAAAACTCAAGATAAGAAAAATCTATCAAATTTCCCACTTTTTCCTTTGTTCTTTCTTTCTCTGATGTTCTAAGATCCCTTCTTTTGCAACTTTCTTTCTGTTTCCAGAACCTCCTTATCCATTCTTTTAGGCAAGTTCTGCTACAGACAATTCTCTTTGTATTTCTTCCTCTGAGAATGTCCTGATTGCCCTTTCATTCCCGAAGAACATTCTCACTGGATATAAAACTCTGTGTTGATGGTTCCTTTTCTCTCTGCACCTGAAAAATTGTGTCCCTTTCTTACGACCTCCATGGTTTCTGATGAGCAGTCTGTTGTCATTAGAAACACCTTTCCTCCATAGGTGCAGTGCCATTTCTCTCTGGCTGCTTTCAAGGTATTTTTTATCTTTAGTTTTCAGAAATTTGGGGTTCATTCAGCTCCTTGAATCTATAGGTTTTCATCTTCTGCTAAACTTAAAAAATTTTGAGGTATATTTCTTCAAATACTTCTTCAGTCCCAATCTCCTTCCCTTCTTCTGGGACATCAATGACATGAATACTAGATCTTTTGCTACATCTGACAGATGGCTGAGATTTTTTTATTCTATTTTCTCACTCCCATTCATATTGGATCATTTCTATCCTCAAATTCACAGATTCTTTTTCTCTGTCCTTTCCACTCAGATATTGAGCCCATCCATTGAACTTTTTATTTTGGTTATTATACTATTGAGTTCTAAATCTCCACTAGGTTCTTCTTTATATCTTTTCTTTCTTTGCTGAGATTTTATATTTTTCATGTGTTTTATGCATGTGCATAATTCCTCATTAAAGCATTTTGCATGATGGCTGCCTTAACATCCTTGACAGATAGTCCCAGCATCTGTATCATGTATACGTTGACATCCATTGGTTGTCTTTCCTCTTTGAAGGAGAGATTTTTCTGTTTCTTGGTATGATGAGTCATTTTCAGTTGGATCTTGGCTATCTTGGCCACTGGATTTTGTCATGTGTTTTAGCACCTTCCTCTGACACTGTGCCGGTGGGAGTTGGGGGGCATCGCCTTGTCATTTCCAGATGGGGCTAAAAATCCAGCTTTCCCTCTCAACCTCCATGACACAGTGAAATAGGAGATCTTGCAGGCTCGTTACTGTTGGCCTGGAGTAGAAGTCTAGCTTCCCCTCTCAATCTCTGTTGACATCTGTCTGGGAGGAACAGAGGCACTTTGTCCCTGCTCCTCATGTGGCCTCCACTGACAGCGTGTGTGTGTGTGTGCGTGTGTTGGGGAGCACTGGGTGGTAGTGAAAGTCCCACCAAATGGGCTAGAAATTGGGCTCTTCATGTGATTTCCACTGACACTATGGCAGGGAAGAGGAGACTCATGACCTCCCAAAGGGTGAAAGTCCTGATTCCCCATTGGCCTTTTCTACCACTGCCCCCACCCAGCAGGTGCACCTTGTTACAGCCTGGTGGGGTGGATGTCAATTTTGTCATCATTATTGATCATGGTGAAATACTGGGTAGGAGAGAAGTAGTTGAAATAAACAGCTAAAATGCTTCAGGGAAATCTCCGAGAGTATTGGTTATATATACTAATGTATTTCAGAAGGAGTGAGAGTTGGGGAGTGATTTGGTATATACCTAGTGGGCGATTCAGTATATTTCCCAACTATTGTAGAAATACAGGCAGAAGCTATATTCAGCCTACATTACTATGGCAAAATAATATGTAGTATTAGTTAGCTTTTGGTACTTCAGAGAATTTTTGGACCTGTATAGTAAAAGTAATAAGTAGTGTTTGAAGTGCTACATCTGGATTATGATAGTTTCCTCCTCTAGAATCTTAAACCATTCTCTAAGCATTATCACTACTCAGCTCATGATAACATGAAACACAATGTAAGGATCAAATATTTGGTTGCAAACAGAAAACGTAAGTGAAGAAAGTAAAAGGCTCAGATGACACAGCCGTGGGTTGGGCTGAGCCAAGCCACAGGGTTGTGTGCCCAAGAACTAGAAGAGGACATCATTCTCTTTTTCCTGGATAATCCCGAACAACACCAGACCCACCATCCTCCCAGACAAGTGCCCTCCCAGGAATCACCTCAGCTCCTCTCCAGTGAAAACTGAGCTCACGCAAGGCCTGTTTACAGTTCCTCCATGGAAGAGGAGAGCTGAAAACACAGGTCTGACCAGGAAGGGTGGTGAAAATGATGCCTGGGGATTCCAGCCACCTGGTGGACATGCAACCCTAAATCCCACTCCTATCCCTTTCTCAATTATGGGCAGTCCAGAATTTCTTCTTTTTTCCCTCCTTCTCTGTGCCTGGCTAGAAACTGTAACTGATTCAAATATTTAAAACATGTGTTTACATATTTTGGCTTTCTAAAAGTGTTACTACTCATTATAAAAGTGCTGCTTTTGTTAACAGAGCACCTGTCAGACTTCTACTGCAATGCTAAAACGGCCGCATACTTCTCTGTTGCGGGGCTGTCCTGTGCACTAGAGGATATTTCGCACCTACTAGATGCCAACAGTACCTTCCCCCAGTTTCAACAACCAAAAATGTCTCCAGACATTGCCAAATGTCCATCAGGGGGTAAAACTGCTCAGGGTTGAGCACCACTGGTATAGAGGAAGATGCACAAGAATAGGGATGCTGATAGGTCTTCTAAAAGCCACTTGCTCAATCAAACCTCTGGAAGAGAACCAAGGACACATTCCATTCACATTGGCATAGAAAACGCATGCTTGAAAAGCTCTTTGAGGGTCACCCTGTGCAGAATGTAAGTGAATTAATAATGTTAATTTCTGATCTTATTAGAATAATGGGATCTCAGCATGGGAAAGCCAGGTGATGTTAGAAGAATCAGGTTGGGCAATCACGATAAGCTATAGGAGTAAATTGACCATTAGACGTGTTGAACTACAGGGATCACAGAAATGTCTAATTATGGAATCCCTATAAAAAGATGGGCAAAATAATAGGGTTGTTAAACCACGGCTTGCAGACCAAATCCAGCCCATTCCCTAATTTCATATAGCTTCACTGGAACCTGGCCGCATCTGTGCATTTCCATTGTCTCTGGCTATCAGCAGAGTTATCAGAAGTTATGGCCCACAAAGCTTAAAATAGTTGTTGCCTAGTCCTCTAGAAAAAGTGTGCTGACTCCTGACATAGACAAATATTAGGGCCAGCGACTAAGGCAGTAAGGCCTTGACCAAATTTCCATTGGTCATATGCATAGAATTTACCAGCTAAGGATATATATAAATTACATTTTATATTTATAAAATATATTTATTTTATAAATAAATTATATAAAAATATATTTATTTATATAATTTATCAATAAATTATATCAATAAATTTATTTATAATCTATAAATCAATTATATAAATAAATAAACTTATTTATAAAGGGGGCCTCGGGGACATCACCTTGTGTCAATGCTATAAGCTGCCTTGATTTTGGTATCAGTAACAAACAGCACCATTGAAAAAACTCAGAGCTTCTGGTTTCTCACACTCCAAAGTCTTTCTCTCTCCTGAAATATAAATAAAGCATTGACTAAGGCAACATGAAACAAAAGCACTTTTGTTTTAAAATGCTTTTATTTTGTTCCTAATTGGTTTGTCATTCCATCACACATTTTAACAGTGGTCTGCCAGCTATACCATTTCATTTGGATATTTCTGCCATGCTCCACATTTTCCTCATCATGCATTTCAATCCTCAGTTTCTTCATCATTCGCTAGTAACACTGCTGCTGAATTTAAGACAAAAATAGGTGGTTTTTGAAAAATGGAACATTTAGCAATGCCAAGAAAATTTTATCAAGTTCTGTGAACACATCTATATGGCCTACAATTGGTCATGATTTACTCAATTATGTTTGGTAGGTGGGTTTGTCCTGCCCTGTCTCTCCACACATTCCTGGGAGAGAACAAGCTTATTGAGGGGAGAACAGGCTCCCCTCTTGAGGCCCCACTCTGCAGAAAGCACCCTGAGAAGGCAGCACCTCACCCTGTGGGAAAGCATCATTGCACAGACACAGCCTCAGTTAGGGGTGAGCATCCAGACCCATCCAAGTGATGTTTGGGCAGGCTGTTCCTCCCTGCCTCTTCTTTTTCCCATTTGTTCCAATAAAACCAAGTCATTGTGACAAATGGATACCAAGAGACCTAGATAGAGTTCCCATACAAACATCACTTAAGACTGAGCTGATCATTTGCGATGTTTCCTTCTCTACCTGACAAGTTGCTGACCTGTGAAAAGCATCAAGGAACTGCCAAGGCCTCCTACGAGTTAATAACATGCAAGAAACTTAGGAAGACCTAGCTATTATTTATGTCTCTTCAACCACTACCATGGAGCTGTTGGGGAGCCACAACAGGAAGTGGTGTTGTCAAGGCAGCACTGCCAGGAAGCACCTTCCTTAAATCTGCCGGGGTCACAGATACACCCCCAGACCCACTTCCCACCCACACAGCTGGCCCAGATAAAGAGGGTGGGATGCCAGAGAGGCAATAAGGGGGAAGAAAAGGTAGAAAACAGTATTTATGAAAGGAAATGTGCCTTTCTGATTTTTTAGGTTTTTAATCCTCACCAGAGAATATGTTTATTGATGAGGGAGGGAGAGAGAGAAACATCAATGTGAGAGAGCAACATCAATCAGTTCCCTCCCATGCAGGCCTTGACAGGGGCTGGAACCCACAGCCAGTTGCTTGGGATGATGCTCCAACTGACTGAGCAACCCGGCCAGGACAAAATGTGCCTTTAGAGCAGGAAACCCACGCTGAGGGCAGGATCCACCTTACAAACTAGACCCTCCTAGTTGGAAAAGGTAGATTAGAATTAGTCCAAACTAAAAAATAAGTGCAACTCGTGTTGAAACGCTACTGTAGCTGCTGAGTGTCTTTCATAGATAAGAGCTCTTGAAGGAATAAATCTGTGCCCTGTGCCCTGAGGCTGAGACAATCCCAACATCTCACCACTTACCATGCTTTCTTCACATTCATCACTTTTCCATGCTTTGCCAATCCAAGCCTTCAGTGCTGCCTGCTTACCCAACCAGGCTGCCTTAATTTTACCACTGGGCTTGGATGACAGAGGTAATTTTGTACAGACTTCCTTTTCTTTCCTCTCTTGAACAACTCTGAGGGGAACAGAGTTTTTATCACAATAAAAGAAACTGAAGATAAAAAACTATGGGCCATCCAATCCTCTGACAGGACATCCCCCCTAAAAATACAGGGTTCATGATCACGCATGTAGAAAATTTGTCAAGATAAATGCTTTGCCTTACTAGTTCCCATTTTAGTTTATTATACAATTGCTAAATATGATCTGTATGTGGCACCCAGACTCACAAGGACAAAAACAGGAGTGGGAAAGGTGCACATTGTGTGCAGGTTACAGCCAGGTCAGTCACTAAGGAGGCCACCTAGCACTTATTAGAGTAGGAAAATAGTTTTCCTTGTTGCTGGACAAAGTGACCCAACTAATCTCTGTAGCTTTTATTCATGTCACAGGGATAGACTAGTGGTGGAAGCCCCCCGAGTGAGAAAGCTGAATTTCAGTCCTGCCTGTAGGCAGCCACCAGCTTCCACAGCCTCACTGGGTAGACGTGTCCTCACCATTGAAAGGAGAAGGGAAGAGTCACGTCCGAGAACATGCCTACGACACATCTCATCACAGCATGAAGGGACGTGGTCAGCCTGGACTGGGAACATCCGCCAGCCAGGGCCCTGCAGACACAGGCAGGTGGGAGCTGCCCCCCTGCTGGTTATAGGAGGGCTGTAGAGTGAAATGTTAGGTGTTCATTATGTACTGGCTGGTATTATTATCAAGCTCTGGAAAAAACACTTGGATTCTCAGGCCTGCTGGCTCATGTTCCTGGCAGGCTGTCCCGTGGCCCCAACAGCACTGACAGAGGAGGGGAGTTCCCCCAACACCCACCCCTCTCCCATCCAAATTCTGCATGGGAGTTTGAAAGAACAAAGCAACTGACCTGTAAATAATGGTGAGAATAAAGGCCCCGGTGATGATCATAATCAAGGCAAAAAACACATGCACATAAGCTGGAAAACAATGTCCGTTTATCATCATTTGGGTTAATAATTGAAAGGCAGCCATCCCCCCAAGTTGGGCCCAGCCCCCCACCCTGCTGCCCTTCTCCACCAGCTCAGGCCTGAGCGCTGCCTCTCCCCACTTCCACTTCCCTCCTGAGACCTCTCTGGGGATCCAGGTTGCCCACAGAGATGAAGGCTCCACATGAAAGGTACTCAGGGTGGTGGCCAGTGGCTACCCAGCTAACACCCAAGGACCGCCCACTGAGAGGAGTACTGTAGAGATGGCACCCTTGTCTGTTCCCCAGGAAATGGTGACATCGGCCTCTGGTGATCTGGGCAGCTCACCCTGCCCCCAACTCCATGAAACTGGTTCTTCAATGTGCAGGTCAGTTACCCCCCCAAACTGAATATAGGGAAAATAAATGCTTTTTGGGTGATAAATCCCATTGGTCTAATTTCAAATTTTATTGACTGAGTTTTTCTGTATTAACAAGGGGCTTCCACGGTGCTCAATTGTTATGTCTTCTCTAAACCCACTCCCAACAGAAGAACCAAAGCTTTCGAAATGACTCTTAGAGGCAGCCTCCATTCCCACGTTCACCTGCCATTAAGGGCATCACCTGGTATAAATTCTCAGCCCTTCTCCGCTCCCTGGAAAGGAGTGGGAGGGAGAATTGAGCACCACCCACCCCCCTGAGCTTCCTCCTAGAGATACAGCCTAAGGCACAGGGAAAATGCTCTTTAAATGATGTTGAATGAAATGAATTGAAGTGAAAAAATAAAGTTCATTTTACCTAAAAGTGTGAAATTAAAGACACAAAAAGGTAAACCATAAATTCTTGAATTCCAGGGAGTATGTGTTCTGTAGTATAATCTTGTGTCTTTGCTCATGAAATAAACTCAGAATTAATATGAGTGAAGAACTGTTAGAGACACATGTTTAAACACTGTTTTAGAATTCAATTATAAGCACATCTTCTATATCCTTATATGTACAAGCACTTTTGGTACTTGATGTCAAGCCCCTGGAGGCAGAGACTGAAGCTCTTTGGTTTTATCTGTATAGTACCTGGCTAGATATAAACAATACGTATGGTTTTTAATAAACCATATATGATAATTGCTCATTCAGAAATAGCAGCAATTGAGGAAAGCATTATTTTCTTCAAGGAATATCTTGGGAAATTCTCCCCCAAATATAGTTAAACAAAAGTTTTGAAACACCTCAGCAAGTCTCGTGAAGAAACTGAAATCAAACACTCAGAAGAAATGACATGTTACATAATATACCTGAAGTCAAGACTGAAGAATGAAGGCAAGTCACTGTCTTTGAATTCCTTGATTCTTTCTCAAAGATCTAATGCTAATTCCCCAAGTTCACATTCTTAATAATACAGATTATGCCGTAACACAATGTGAACTTCAAACAAGCCAATTTAAGAAGTTGGTGAAAGGTTTTCATAACATGGAATTATGTGCACAAAGAACTCATAATACCCTGTCACTTTATACTACAACTTACACAGCACAAAGGTTCATTCACCGTCTTGAATGCATACGATGTCAAAGAAATGAAAAATTATTTGAGGGCACAGTGAGAACTCAAATGCAGGGCTCACTGCCCAGACTCCTCTCACAGAGAGCCCAACCCCTCAAAGTGAGAGAAGTCAGGAGATAAGAGAAAGCCTAGCCCACACAACTCATCTATTAAAATTGAATGGGTGGAGAGGATTAATACTTGCCTCCATGCAAAAATGCCATACCCACTTGCAAAAATGTGGGCTCTCTTCAAGTAGAAAAGAATTCTTGAGTTTGCGGGGGTTCTGATAGAGGGAAAGTGGTCCTTAAAGACATTAATTATTAAGGTGCTGTAAGGAACAAGTCTCATTTTTCAAATGAATGACAAGCATAAGATGATTTTACTAATTTAAACAATGTTATACATACTAACATCTACAAAATGGCCAACTCCCATGAAAAATTCTGATGAGAAGAAATTAAAGAAGACCTAAATAAATGGAAATACATCCTCTGCTCATAGATCAGAATATTTAATATTATTTAGATGGCAATAACCTCCAAATTATACAGATTCAACACAATCCCTGTCAAAAATATAAGATGGATTTTTTTTTGCAGAAATTGACAAACTGATGCTAAATTCATACAGAGATGCAAAGGATCCCTAATAACTAAAACAATTTTGAAAAAGAACAATTGAAGAGCTTACACGTCTCAATTTCAACACATTACAAACCTACAGTAATCAAAGCAGTATGGTACTGTTTAAAAATAGGTAGATATCTAGAATAGAATTGAAAGTCCAAAAGTAAATTCTCCCAGTTATGAGCAATTGATTTTCAGTGAGAATGCCAAGATAATTTTAAAAAAAGAATTGTCCTTTCAACAGATGATGTAGGTTAGCTGCATACAAAAGAATGAAATTGGATCCCTGCCTCACACCATATACAAAAATCAACTTAAAATGAATGAAAGACCTAAATGTATGAACTAAAATCCTAAAGTATAAAACTCTTAGAAGATATCATAGATATAAACCTTTGCCCTTGGACTAGGCAGTGGTTTCTTAGATATAACACCAAAAGCACAAGCAATCAACAAACAGATAAACTAAATATCATCAAAACAGAAAATGTTTGTGCTTCAAGGACACTATCAAGAAAATAAAAAGACAACCAACAGATTGGGAGAAAGTAGTTGCAAATTATATATATGGTAAGGGTCTGCTATCCAGAATATATAGAGTGTTCTTACAACTCTGTAATAAAGACCCAATTAAAAACTGGGCTAGGGATTTCTAAAGAATTTTCTCCAGAGAAGATATACAAATAGCCAATAAGCACATGCAAAGCTGCTTGATATCATTACCCATTAGGGAAACACAAATCAAAATCATGAAATACAACTTCATAACCATTATAATGGATATAATAAAAAAGATAGACAACATGTGTTGGTGAGGATATGGAGAAATCAAAACTCTCATACACTGCTGGTCAGACTATAAAATGATGCAGCCACTCTGGAAAATAGTTTAGCAGTTCCTTAAAAATTTTAAATATAGTTAATATATGATCCAGTAATTTCACTTCTGTCAATACCCAGAAGAACTGAAAACATATATTCATAAAAGTTTGTACCAATGTGTTCACAGTAGCATTATTCATAATAGCTAAAAAGTGGAAACAATCCCAATTTCTAACCAACTGATAAGTGGATAAACAAAACATGGCATATTCATACAACAGGATGTTATCCATCTTTTAAATGAATGAAGCATTGACACATGCTACAACCTGGGTGAACCTTGAAAAAGCTTCTGTAAGTGAAGGAGGTAAGGCACAAGAGGCCACGCATTGTATAATTCCACTTACATGAAATGTCAAGAATAGGAAAATCCACGGAGATAGAGCTAATCCGTGCTTGCCAGGGGCTGGAGGGAGAGGGTAATAGGATGACTGCTTAACGGGTACGGGATTTCTTTTTAGAATAACAAAAATGTTCCAAAATTTTTAGTGGTGATGGTTGCTCACCTTGGTGAATATACTAAAAACCACTGAATTATACACTTTTAAAGGTGTATTTTATGGTGCATTTTTATTATTCAATAAAAATAATAACCAACACAGAGGTAACTTCCACTTGTTTCTGTCTGCAGGTCCAGGGGAGGGTGTGGGATCCCAGGGAGGCTGGGGTCTCCTGAGGGTGGACGGTGGGTCGAGTGAGGAGGTGTGCTCCCAAGTCTTCTAATTCAAGATCTAAACGAGAAATGCCATCAGAAGATCCTTCCTGCTATAAATGGCATTCCTTGTGACCTCTCTGCCACTTTTTGAGAAGCCGAACTTCCTTTCCCTTTGCCCAAGGGCCATATCTTCACCATGAAACTAGACAGATGCTCTCCCTTTGGGTGAACCAAGATCTGGCTAATAATTTAGCTTCTTGAGTCATTTCCTCCAGAATATGACTTACTTCTTAAAGGAGCTGGCTACAAGTTTTGAGTCTTTGGGATCAGGCAGTCCCATGGGCCAGTAGTTGGTAACACTCATCAGTCACTAATGTCTCTCACTTCCTGGGGGCTTTTGAGTCTAGGGATGAGAAGGCAGACTGTCTTGTGTCTGAGGGGCTCAGTCTAACTGGGACTTAGAGAAGAAAAGAAAGAAGGAATCCTACCAGGACAAGAGCACAAGCACACTTTCAGCCACTGTAGGTGATGAGACAGGAGAGTAGCCTGGGACAGGGAGGGACCAGGACACAACTTTCCACAGCATCAGAGCTGTTCAGTGTCTGCAGCCAGCAGCCAGCTTTTCATATCTGTGGGAACACTTTCCTCCTCTTTGGTGAGGTCTCGTGCGGGCTGCCCTGGTCCATGGACTTGTTTAGTCCCATCCCAAACAGCCCTGGAGCCTGCTCCCCTTGTTTCTGAAAGGGCCACAAAGGGCAGGAAAACGCATTGGCCATCAAGTGGAATTTTTGAGCACTTGGAAATATTTAGAAAATTCCAGTCACAGAAGGCCAAAGGTCTGAATCGTGAGAAAATATCCAGAAGGTATATTAGCACCCCTTTGGGGCCAGGCATCCTGGCTTATATCCTCCTCTGCACCCACTTCCTCCCCCTGCCCTCTGACCTTCTCACCATGTGCCTCCCCTGGTGGTGGGCTGGGAAGCAGGCCCTGTGTGGAGGATGACAGACCCACCCTGGTCCCACAGCCTCCCCATCCAGGACTCCCTGCTGGCCCTGCCTCCCCAAGTGTATCCCAGACTGGAGTGTCTGTCAGGTCTGTGTCTTTGTTCTGAAGATGATGAGCCACAGGGGTCCTCTTGTCATCCTTGTTCGAGCTGTGTGCACTGGTTCCTGCCCTGGTCACATCTGACCCTTTGCACAGCCAGCAGCCAACCCCTGCCCTGGACCAGGTGCTTTTGCAGGACGGTGTCCTCAACTTCTGCCTAAAACACCCCTGAGAAGGCCGCAGGTCTTCCAAGGAGGAGGGACCTCAATTAGTCTTCTTCAATAGCAAGCCCACCCATATGGGAGTGGACTTTTTCTGGTGGCCTAAGTCCCAGTCGCTGACCCTCAAAGCCCTCCACTCTCACTACTGCAGAGAGATGTGACCAGGGAACGACAGGAAGGGCCTGTCCAGCAATGAGACCCAGGACAGGAAAGACTGCCGTTCCTGGGCCTCTGCGACTTTATCCCGATGGGGTGGGCCTGGCCCAGTACTTACTGGGAACTGCTTTTTCATAGCAGACGCCTCTGTGAAAGCAGCACCCGAGTCCCTGACACCGATCTCTGCTGATATTTCGGTCGCAGACGGTGTACAGAGGAGGGTCGCACACTGCGGAGCACAGACACACATGGCCAGTTATCAGCAAGAACACAGCCACCACTTGTAATTCTGAAAATCGTGGGATTCGGACAGGACACTTCGGGGTTTCTGTTGTGGGTTTTGGTGTATTTTTAGTTTTGCGTTGGACAGGACCTCGCTTTGAGACTAAGATCTGGAATACATTGGATTGCTGAACCAAATACTGCCAAGTTAATTACACAGAATAATGCAGGGTCCTCTGCTACCGATGAAGGAGATAATACATCTCAGTGGGGCGCTCACAAGGCTCTGTGCTCCACAAAGAAAACGGGAGACAAAGATCTAGTACAATGGATACTCTGGAGTTCGGGTTATAATGTGTAATTAATTCATTTGTAAGTAGACAGTGAATTAAAATTATCAGTATGGGCTGAGGATTATCTCGGAACTTAAAAGTTGAATCAAAAAGAAAGTTTAATGCCAATTTTGACAAAAAAGAAAAAGATAATGAATGTGCAATACACTATATAGGAGACAAGGGACTGTTTTCAGCAAAGCCCAGCTACCTAACACCTAATAACACTGTCAGCTTTGGGAACATGTGATTCCCCTGGCTGGCAGCCAGCGACGTCCGCCCAACCCTGCTGGGTCTCTGTCACAGGGGTGGGGAAGGAGGGGCGCCTGCCCACTTCTCTCACTTCCCAGGGAACTGCAGTCATTTTCCTAGACTTAGACTTTCAGACTCAGGGTTTCCAGAGAAACCGCTATCCCTCATGCCCCTCCCCTCCCCTTCCCTTCCCAAGACCCCCACTCCAGATTTGACAGAGACTGATGCCATGACCTCCCACACCTGTCAGAAATGTGATGGAACTGTGGTGGCCCTCTGAATGCCCCTGCAGCCCCGGAGCACACAACTGGACAGGTCAGCAGAGTCAGAGGGTGAGAGGTCCCGCTGTTAACCTTCTGCACCACCGCCCTCTCCTAAAGCTGGATCCCTGTAGCCAGAGCCAGCTTGCTAACTGGGAGGGGCAGGAGAGCCAGGGCAGGCAGAGGAGCCTGTCCTTGGCACAGCTGGACTGGAGCAGCTCAGAGCTGGTCCCAGGAGGGTCATATACACACCATGTGCCTTAAAAGAGATCATGTTTACATAAAATTTCCTTCAACAGATACAGGTGTCCAACTTCACATCCTGGGCAGGACTGGGGAAAGGTGAACTTCACCGTTAAACATTTTTTCTACCCTGGCTGGTGTAGCTCAGTGGATTGAGCGCGGGCCTGCGAACCAGAGGATCGAGGTTTGATTCCCATCAGGGCACATGCCTGGGTTGCAGGCCAGTTCCCAGCAGGGAACGCACGAGAGGCAACCACACATTGATATTTCTCTCCCTCCCTCCTTCCCTTCCCCTTAAAGATAAATAAATGTTAAAAAAAGAAACATTTTTTCTTTAAAAAAAAAAAAAAAACCTCTCACCCTGGCCAGTGTGGCTCAGTTAGTTAGAGAGTCGTCCTATAAACCCAAAGGTCACAGGTTCAATTCCACAGCAGGCGTGTGCCTGGGTTGCGGGATTAGTGCCTGGTCAGGGCACATGCGAGAGACACCAATTCACGTTTCTCTCTCACATCGATGTTTCTCTCCCTGCTTCCCTTCCCCTCTAAAATCAATAAGCATGTCCTTGGGTAGAGATTTAAAAAATCATTCTTGCCATAAAAATTATGAAGTAGCTGAAGTATATGGTTCACACATCATATGAAAATATCTTTAACCCTTAAGTGCCCTGGGAAATAGATTTCTTATGCTGAAAATCTTAGATTTGGTTGGGGGGAGTTGTAATGAAATTTTAAAATTTAAAAATTTTCCCTAGTATTTTCCTACATACTTTTGAAAAAGAAGTTTCTTTGCCTTTCCTTCTCAGCCTGGTGGCTAATCGTCAACACCTTGGGTAGAAATAGGCTCCTATTGTGGTCTTTTCTCATTACCTGCAAATTTCTTCAGGGGATGTGAGGGGGACTGTCTGAACTCTGGTGCATATCTCATTGTAGCAGTTGGAGGATGGGCGAGGGTTCAAGGATACCTGGGAGAGAGAGAAGTTAGCACAGGCTGGACCTGAGGACCCAGGCTGACGTGGGTCCGAGTCTCACCTGTCGATTTTGTCCCCCAGCTGAGCCCGCCAACCGTACACCTCTCAGTGACACTCCAAGAGGACAACTTTTGAGTCTAACAGAATGCTGGCCACCTCCTCCCTCCTGCTGCTCCTGGCCAGTAGTGTGGAGCCAGCGGCTGGCACACCCCACCTTCTGTGATGTCACACAGCCCCATGACATCACACAGAGGGCAGGACTGTGAGGCTGGCCCTGTAGGGTAGACAGGACACTTACGGGGCTGAGGAAGGCGGCAGAGCCTCACGGCGGGCATGGATGGCGTCAGAAGCCCCACCTGCTCCGAACCCTGCACTCAGCCCACCCTCACTGCCCAACCAGGCCTGGCTTTGCAGCCAGGTGTTTGAGCCCCACCACTCCCATCTTCACGGCATAATTCTCCCTCTTGGCAGGAGCAAAGTGACAGAGATGTCATAGAGACTCAATCATGAGCAAGGGAGTAGGCTACTCTTTCCACTTCGGCCTGCAGGCAGAGTGAAACAGGGCACTAGGACAGGATTTTGTGTATAAGACTGGATTACATTTTAACAGCAGCGCTCTGGCTGTGCTGAAAGTACACAGTAAGGAGCCAAGAGTAAACTGGGGGACTCATGTAACAAGCCAGGAGAAAGTAAGAGTAGGACCGAAGTAGTCACAGTTTGAATGCTTTTTGTGTGTAGATTTAGAGTCAGTAAGATCGGCAGACAGATTTGTGAGAGGAAACAAATCAGTGAAGAACCCAAGGATTTTTGCCTAAGAGGCTGGAAGATGGAACTGCCAGGCAGACAGACACTGCGTCTGTGGCTGTGGCTGAGGCTGAGGCTGAGGTCCCGGCAGAGTGTGCACGGTGGGCAGCTGGACAGAGAGCCATCAGCATTTGGGAAAGCCCCTGGGGAAGCCTGGGGGGGGGGGGGCGTGCCTGGGTGGCCAGGGACAGAAAGCCCGCAAACTGGAAGAGGCAGCTGGAAGCCCAGGAAGTGGGAGGCACAGTGCGGCATGGTGTCCCAGAGACAGGGAAGGAAAGCTAATCTGTGAGGAGAGAATACAGGTGCCTGGGCCAGGTGAGGGTGGGGCAGCGAGGAGTTACTGACCAGGCGGTGAGGCAGGGGAGTGTGACCAGGAGGGGTAAGTGGAGGGACCACCACCCGGGGGAGCAGGCACGGCTTCGGTTGATGTGTCACACTCACCAGACCACTGGGGAGGAGCAGGGACACAGGACTTAACCAGGGTCAAAGTTTCTGCAGGACCCGGGTGGTGGTTCTGGCAGGATTTAAGCAGGGAAGAGATGGGAGGACAGAACCTGTGGGAGGGGTTGCAGAGAGAGAACCTACCCAGCCTCTCCTATTATCCAGCCCTCCGAGAGGCTGCACCTTCTGACATTTCCAAACTGAGGCAGTCGGGTTGTCTCCTGAAATCTTAACCTGCAGCAGCAGAAACCCTGCCAGACATCAGCTCGGGTCCGTTCTTGACAAACTTCCAGACAGGGAGTCGAGTGTGGCCCTTTGCGGCTGGGGTTCGCACCGGGAGGAGGACAGATGCTCACAACAGGCTCCAGGAAGAGGCCGAGGAGGCCTGGAGACTCCCAGGGATTTACTCCAGTGAAGACAGAGTCAAGACGGGGCAGCGAGGGGGCCGTGTGGGCAACTGCTTTGGGGTGGGAACAGGGGGCAGGCAGCCTTTGTGGGGCTGGTAGGACCAGGAGGGGAAAAGAGAAGGGCGACTCCCCCTCCACCATCGGAACCCCCACCTGGGGCCACAGGACAAGGGAGACGCCACTTTACCCCGACCCAGTGGCCAGAACCCCCAGAGTGCTGCTGTTTAGGGGGGTCCCCCCTCCACAGTCCCAGGCATGTCAGTGCCTGAAGCCTCTGTCCACTTTGGTGACCAGCCAAGCCAGGACTGTGGAGGATGGAGGCTTACCAGTCCATGGGAGGGGGGGCCAGAGTGGCCGGGGCTCGTCTCTCCCTATATTAGCCCTGAGTCCTGTTCCCACGTGATAACCAGCGACTGCATTTACTGACTTCATTTTGGTGAAGAGCAAGACATTTGCTGTTGTGGGCTGTGTCATCTTCCCACGCGAAAACGTAGGTGGTGTGGTGAGTCTTCTGGAAAAGTGCCTTGGGATCCATTACAACCTTGAGGCCTGCAACTGCTAACCCTTCATTAGTCCACACCTTGATGGGATTTAAATAACAACCTACAACACTGGGGCCTCACTTCCGGAAGGGCAGGTACTCAGGTTAGAGACGGGACTGGGCCAATGCCCAGAGGTGACAGTCCGCTTTCCCTACTGTTATGAGTTGAATTGCGCCCCAACCCCCACCAAAAAAAGAGACGTGTTGAAGTCCTGATGTAGGCATGTACCTGTGCACATGACCTTATTTGGAAATAGGGTCTTTGCACATACAATCGGGTCATGATGAGGTCACACTCAGGATGGGCCCTAATCCAATACAACTGGTGTCCTACTAAGAAGAGATAAGTAGACACACTAAGGTAGTGGCCTTGTGAAGACACGCATGGAGGGAAGGTGGCCATTTGCCAACGGAAGCAGAAATCAGAGCCACAGGACCACCAGACGAGGACCACCAGACTGCCGTAACCACCGGAAGCTGGCAAGGGCAGGGAGGGTCCTCCCCTCTCCCTTCGGGGGAACGCAGCCCCGCCAACGCTGCAGCTTCAGAATTCTGGCCTCAGAACTGAGAGAGAACCAAGTTCTGTCAGGGTCCACCCTAGTGGGTTACTTACAGCGGCACCAGGAAACTAGCACATCACACCGTTAGCCGTTTTGCTGCGACAATAACCAGAGAAGGAACCCCTCCCTGCGTACCACGGCTGCTAGAAGACAGTAAGCCCATAGCGTGTTGATTACAGGGGGCCCGTGGTCAGACCAGGGTCTCTGACTCCTGGGCCCCCTCGGGCACTGTGGGCCACCTCGGGCCCGGGCCCACAGGCCAGTGTGGTCTGAGGCCCAAACAGCCCCACCTTCCTGTCTCGGAGCCTCTGTCAACTACACGAGATGGCCCAGCCAACCCATCAGCTGCACAGCGACGCTGACCGCCAGCTGTCGACAGCCCTCACACACCACCGTCAGACTGGGGCTTCCCTGAACAATTCCCTCCTATTATGCAGCCGCCAGCTTTTAATTTTGCTGTGTTGCCACGACCTCCTTTCAGTTATTAAATGCCAACCTGTTTTATGAATAAAATCAAGTTAATTACATACTGCATCCAAGAAAGAAATTAAATCAGCACCCACCTCAGCCCAGGCAGAGCGCAGACGATCAGCATCCAGCCTGTGTTAGGGGAAAGGCGTCCTGCAGAGGGTAACTTTTTATTTATTTATTTAATTTTATTTATTTTTTAAAAATTTTTTTATTGATTATGAGGGTAACTTTTTAGAAGGGCAGGCTGCACTTTGTCCTCTGCTGCTGCTGGTGCAGTTTTCAGGGACAGGGCAGCACCTGGCTCCAGAGCCCAAGTCCCACAGGCTTTGCTGACAGCCATCTTGGTGGGGATGCAGTCAAGTGGGCTTCCTGGGGAGCCTGCCGCTGCCAGTCGGAGCCCCCTACCCTGCCCTCGTGGGAAGGGCAACAGTGCGCACTGTAGGTGAGCACATTCCAGCATCAGAGATGACAATTGTAAAGGTTTTTTTAAAAGCTCAAAAGAGGACTGAACCTGAGAGCCACAGAGAAGCCATTTGCAGGCATGTACAGGTTCCCCTGGCCTTAAGCTCACTCAGCCCTTCCCCAAGCAGCCACGAGCAAGCACTGAGGCATGACAAGCAGGGGATGGGAATACGACGAGGAGAAAAACAGATGCCACCCGGACTTCAAAGGGGAAGAGGGAATCCATAAAATCATCACAGGCCACGTGTATGTAAACACCACTGGAAGGAGGGATGTGAGGACTGAACTGGGATATCAAGGAACCCAGGTCCACCAGGCACAGGACTTCCAGACTGTCCCCAAGGGCAGGGAGGAGCAAGGCCGGCCCAGAGAACACACCGGTGAGCACAGCTGGGTTGCGGCAGCCCAAGGTTGCAGGAATGACCACGTGTACAAATCTGCGCCATTAGTAGGTTCATACAAGGTCACCTGATGAGCACCAGAACAGCAGCGTGTCTTCTTGGGCAGGTGATGGGGGCAGAAGCTGCAACCTGTACATGTCCTTCCAGGTCTACTGAGAGGAATCATTTGGTGGCCAAGTAGGAACCATGAAATTAAAGCAGCTTTGTGAAAGCATGCTTAAAAGCCAAAGGATGAAACTTGCCATGTTTATAGTAAGGAGACCAAGGCTTCCCCGGCACCGAGGGGACCAGAGCAAGGACAGCACTGTAACATTAATCAGTTCTTCCTGACCAAACCAGAGGTACGTGGCCTGAATGCTGACTTTTGGAGTGGTTGCCATCACTACAGTATCACAGATGTTTGGTATTTTCCACAATGAAAAAAACACACCATCACCACGAGAAGGACCTTGGCTCCGTGGTTGTGCCCAGGAAAGAGGAATAAAAGGGCACTGAGGTTAATGGGGTTTCGGGGGAGGTGTTGCCAGGGGTGCCGGCTAGGCCAAGGGCTCGCCCCTCTGCTGAAACAAGAATAGTGCAGGCAGGCGGTGCCACGCCAGTGCCTTTTTTTTTTAAAAACAAAATCTGGTGAGAGCTGTCACATTTAAGAATAAAGTTTTTAAGTAGCCACTGAGAGCTGGAGACATAACAACCCAAAAAGTAAAAATAAAAAGCTGTAGTTCATCCCATCTTCCCCCTACTGCTTGAACAATTCTGACACCTTTAGAACTTGGACACACCTGAGAACTGAGCACCCTCTGCAGCTGCAATGGGCACAACTGTTCTTAGGGGCACAGTCTCTGAGCCTGAGACACACAGGCCAGCTGTCAG